TAATTATACATCGATTGTATTTAAATAAAAAAACATTTACAGTGATTTGTTTGAAGAAATTCGAATTCGTAAAAAAATGTTGTTTGGTTAGTAGAATGTATTAATTATCTTAGGCATTCAAGTTCTACTTACCTGTAACATGCTTGATACATAGTAGATTTATGTACAGCAAACTGCGAGTTATTTACTGCTGCACAATAAAGATAGATATAGACAAATTACCGTCACTCTTTTCTTGATGCAAGTCCCTAACTTTTTTTACCTCATTTATTTTTTACGTAACAAGGAATCGAAATTCGTGTTTTGTTCAAATGTTTATAAGTATGGCTAATTAGTTTAAATAAATCAAATGTTACATAAATTTAAAAAATATTTATACAAAATACAACTACTTCACTTCATGCTCACAAATTTCATTAACATTCATTAAACCCGTCAATAGAGTGGCGTTGGTTCAGGGGTAAGCGTGCTCGTTATTGGTACAACGCTGTTCTAGGGGTCGTGGATTTGATTCCTAGTGACAGCAGATTTTTAAAAAACTGTTATAACCGGAAAAAGTTCCTATTCAACCCCGACTGTTTTGGGGCGGGTTTTTCCGTGGAATTTTCCTTCAGAGTAATTCCAGATTTTTTTCCTTGTCCATGGGTCTTCGGGCCTGGGTGAATGCAAAACAGTGTTAGGGCTACAGATAAGCATTAGCAGATCCGATACCAGGTGCCAGGCAGGGATCGCTGGCCTTATTGGCGAGGAGTGGTCCCTGTAACCTGGGGCATCTCCGGGGAGACTAATTAGCCTGGATCTGATGCTTCGGCAGAGAGTGCTGGCTTAACCGGCGAAGAGTAGATGTCCAAAAATATGGAGTCTTCTCCAGGAAAAGGCTACACAGTAGCGAGTGAATCTGATGCACCATTGAAAAAAAAAACAAAAAAATCGTCAATAAAAACCACGATTTCTGTAAAATTGCATGAAAAAACAACATTGTTAATAATTAAAAAGTAAATACGAATTTCGAAAAAAATGTGTCTTTTATGTTTTAAAATATCATTGTAAAATATGAATTATTTAATATTTTTTGAAATTCTAACTTTTAAGTGGTCCACTTCAAGAATTTGGACTCACTATTGCTCTATCGATGTCTTCTAATTTTTTTCTGTATATTTTTTAATTTTTCTACATTCGATTTATCTGCGTTTTACGTTTTAAGACTCAATTTTAATTTTTTATCTGCTCATTAATCTCGTTTTTTTCTCTGTCAATTTTTTTTTGCTCAGTGAAANGTCTGACAATATTTGTTTTTCTCATAAAATCTGTACATCCTCTTTTTCTTCAAGTGTGTGGAGTACATTTGATTTCTTATTCTTTTTGTTAAAAACAAGCACCGTAACGCATAGCTTTATGCTCGATGACAAATGTAACTCATCTAAACTAGAACCTACAACGAATGTATTTAATTATTTTTCACCGTGAAAATGATTAATTGCGTAAAGTAGAGCTTCAATCAAGCGTAAAATAAATATTATTTTTTTGAATAATCTATACACTCACTCGAATTGTTGTCAACTATTGATACGTTTTCTATGTTTTAGGTAGCTGAATTTAAGTGCAAGTCTCGTACGTTTATGGCTGTTTCATTATTTATTTTTTCTTGGCTCTTATTTGTTGATAAATCAAGGACAGAATCTAGATTTAAAATATGTTTATTTGATCTTAAAACTTTAACTGTTTTTGCGTTATACATAAGTAATAACTCACCGGTAAGTATACTGGAATCATTCATAGTAGGCGACATTTCGTGGTGAGAAGTACTTTATCTATTGATATTTTTTGTGCATTTTCATACGAAATGTTTTTTGTACTCACGTGTACATCATCTTTTACTTTTACAGCTGATGCTTCATATGCAGTAGCTTCATTTGTGCTCAAAGCCAATATTTATCCTGGGAATTTTTTCAGTCAACTCTAAATAATACCTAAGTTTTTAGCAATAACTATTTTTTGGCATACCTTGTGGCTTATTCAACAAAAAATAAAGTGCTTCATCAAAATGTTTATCGTTAATTTCAACAACAGTAACATTTTTGCATTCTTTCCCAATGTTGTTACTTGGAACCTTTTTTTTATGCCTTTCTTCTCTACAGACAAAAAATCAAACTGATCGTCATCGATAAAACTAGCTTCACCTATCAAATTTGATGACTCCTCAGAACTAAAATTGCTTACGTGTACGAAGTCTATAGTAGCTATACTTTTTATAATTTCTACATTAACATCATCGTTATTCGCTTTAACTAAAAATGAATTTTCTCCCTCATGTTCAGTACTATTGGTTATCGTTACCGAAGTCCAAATAATTAAAATTATCATACGATATATTTACGAACACATAAATATATCTGGCAGAAATTTGAAAGAACTGTAAAAAATCATCGTATTGCTAAATTAAAAATATTGTACACTTAAGTTAGGATGCTTCTTCAAAAAGCTCTGATACCAATGCTTTCCTAGACGATCATCAAACTTATGCAGGGTATCGAAGAGCATTGTTTTGGTCACGGGGAACCCTCTTTCCGCACTGTATATCACCCACTTGACTAAATCATCTTCCTCGCTCAAACTAAGCTCAGTCAATGGACCTATTTTGCAATCCCTCCAGCTATCACATTAATAGCTTCCTAAATTATTTCCGGTGTAAATGTTGATTTTAATTTGCTTCTCATTTTAATAATCCTTTTAAAACAATTTTTCTCTCCAACTTTTTGTTTTGATTTTTTTCTCTTCTCGATGATTTCTGCCTTTTACAATTTTTTTTTTCTGGTTTTCTGTTTTCTTCTTTGAAGTCATTGTCCTGTACATATTAATGCAATAAAAGTATTTTTGTATTACTACTTAATTTAGGACACACGTTTGATTTCTCTATCAGAAAAGTTTAAAAATTATGAGCTAATATTCTTGTTTTTTAACAACGTACACGTAACGTATTTAGGTTATAATTTTTTTTTGGTTTAAGTACATTTTTTAAACATACTGACAAAAACAACATAAATATATATATATATATATATATATATATATATATATTGTATTCGATGACTTGAAGTTTACACTTATCAATATTCACGTTTTGAGCAATAATTTGTTTAACAAAGTGTTTTCACTGTACCTCTATAGGTGCATTTGCCGAGACACAGTAGATGTAACGAAACTGATGCTATCCAACCGTTCCTCTATTGGGAGCAAAATTCGAATGGGCTGGTTAAGAGGAACAGCAAACAAAAAAAAGTTTCATCATCATAATTTGTTTGAATGTAGTAAAAGTACGTATTGCTATTTTTGACTTTTTTAACGAGTTGTGCATCAATAAGTCTAAAGTATTCATTGCTTTACAAGAGTACTTGAAATAGATTTTTTTTGCTCAAAGAAATAGAACATTTACATGACTGAAATATTGAATTATATTCTCCAAACCTTGCTGAATATAAAATTATTTTTTATTCATTTCTTTTGTGTTTTACTGTAACTGTTCCTCTGTTGGTACTTAAGTTCAAGTTGTTCCCCAACTGGGTATTTTACCTTAATGCGCTACAGTCAATATGAGTCCGTAACCAGTGTGCTAGATGCCAGATTCTCTCGGTCGTTGGACAATAAAGCCAAGGAGTGTAGGTGATGGTTAGCAAGAGTGGTTAAAAAAGAGAGTCGACACAGTAAGATTTCAAGTGGTATTATACGATGGTGTTTATTGCATGTAAGTTATGATTTTATCACTGCCATACCGTAGGTTTCGTCGAGTGAGCGAAGACCTAGCATTGGCTAAAGATTGGGTGATCTGGGACAATTATCCGGTTTCAATACTTTCGGTGTACTTCAGAAACTAGTAGTTGCCATCTGGCGAGCAGTAGGTGGTACCATCAGGCGTGAAGCTTAAAATTTGAGCTGTGTGCGATGTTGAAAATAATTAATAAAACAGTATCTCGGATGGTAACAAAATTATTATCTCCATTTATTCAAAAAAGTCTTTTGTTGGTATATCAACTTTTTGATCCACTTCTGACTATGAAAACAATTTTTACCAATACAAAAATGTTCTGAATATACGTTACATTATTGAAGCAAAGCCAAATGTGGCTTAGTCTATTTTTTTTCTGAAGAGTAGAGATAACAGTTTTTGACTCTTAAAAAAATTAAACTTATTTCAAACTAAGCTTGCTGTTTTAAAGAGTATGATTTTAGAGAATGTTTTCAGAAGACTTTTTAATTATCTTTTGAGATCTATCTTTGTAAGTAGTAAAATATCAAAATGATAGGCCTTATGAAGAATAAATACATGGCTTTACTACTATGATAAGTGTGATTATAATAACTTATAACTCCTAACTTCAATTTTTATACACTTGACTGTATCGTAATAAGAAATTTGTGCATAGAGTAATTTAACCATTCGCAACATCAAATTTTAATTCTTGTTATAATTTTCTAAAAGCAAAGTCTTATCTCAAATGTCATTCGTTTGTTTATTCATCTATCAATTTATAGATTTTTTTTCAACTCAGCTTTCGCAACTGACACCCTTAGAATAAAAACAAGTTTTTGACAATCCTTGACGCTTAGCATTTTCTGCTTTTTGATACTTCCATTTCAATAATATTCAATCATCCTTTAACTTTTTGGATGTTTTTCAGCCTTTGTTAATATACATTTCAAATTGCGTTTTTTCGTCGTTCATCCTGATGGTTATGATGAATTGGGCGTAATTTAAACCAAAGTCTGTGAACTTGTATAATTTTGAAAAATCTTTAAGTATTGTAACTGCATAACTACGCAGTCAAAACTAAGTTTATTTTAAATAAATGACAGTTTTTTATAGATAGTCTTTTTTATTAAATTACTATGTATTATTGTTCCCGCCAGAAAGTGTATTACACATTGAAGTAAAATTATATTTTCATACCTTTATTAATAGTTGTATGATATGTATGTCATTAAAGTTGTATTTATAATTTTAGATAGCACACACGTTTTTATTGGGTACAAAATATTCTAAACCCCTTAAAGCTGATTTTACTGACAAGACGAATTCAAAAAAGTTTTTGGAAATGGGTTGTTATGGCATTGGTTTAACACGTCTTATTGCCGTAGCTGTTGAAATTTTATCAACTAATGAGGAAATACGATGGCCACGAATACTAACCCCATTTGATGTTTGTATTCTGCCTCCGAAGGTAAGTTAAAAAATTGATTAATAATTAAACAACTTCAGTTTACCTACTGCTCCTGCATACCAATGTATTTAAACATCCCGAAAACGGTTAGGCTCTATTAACATAATTATGAATTTGTCAATATTTTGGGACAAACAATAAGCACTTGGTTTTTTTAGTGACGTTTCGTTGACTGGTACGTGAATTTTTTCAGGCATTATTAGAAACAAATGAAATTTTTTTTACAAATGATTAAAGTCGTATAAGAGATACACATAATGTTAATAGACAATCGTAGTACCTTTTTTAAAAATCGTCAAGAAACAATTTATCGTACAGAGCAAGTAACTCGCACTAAAGTCAAACTGGCCAAAGGTGTCAACGGTGCAAGGTACATAGAATTTATAGCCTAGTACACAGATAAACACTTACAACTTTGCATAGTGCGATGACCCAACTTTGTAGTTCAACTACTTTACAAATAAACAAGCCATTCTAAGAATTTACATAACCTATAGAAGCGTATGATTTAAAGGAACTTTGATCGGTGAGACTTAAATTATTTATTATATCTTTTTCATTTATAAATGGCAGTTATCGTACAGCAAGTACCATATAATATTTTGGGGGCCATAACAATATTACAAAATACAACCTTTAAAACTATTTTTTAAAGTCTATCACTAAATTGCTCATGAATTACAAAAAGATATTGCCTTTCTTGCATATCGTTAATCATTATTATAAATTGTGAAGAATATAGTAACTAAGTGACACTGATAGTAATAATATGATATTAGTATAAATAGTGTACATGTACACATACATACATCTTCCTACATTGTATAGTTGTATGGTTTCAAGAAACTGACTAGCTCTCTCATGCTCCCCCCAACTCTGCCCCTAAATAAGGTAATTTTTCATTGTTATACCCGTGAAATTTAACCCAATAAAAATTTAGTTGATTGCCCTCTACTATCCCTGCTCTCCCCCCGTGCATTTGCCGNTTTTGCACAACGAACGCGTAGTTCTCCGCGAAATCACAACACACGATAAATTGGCCATCTTCCAAGTTACTTTTGAAGTTTTGAAAATACTGTGATTGTTTTTTCGAGAAATGATCATGGGTTTTTAACTTCATTAACTTTTCACAGAGTAAAGCAGTGCATTCGTGAGTATTTAGCGTTTGTGATGCCATATCTCTAACTAAGAGGCTTAATAATGAAACCATATCTATATTTAGTAATAAAATTATAACTATTAGTAAAATTAAAAAAAAAATGGGTCCTGGGACCCACGATAGAAGTGAAACTTCAAGTAGCAAATATTGAACTCATTTTAAACAGAAAATTATATGAGAAGCAATCATATGTGTTACTGCTTATCATGTTTTCATCAAACCGAATTGTACGCTTCGATTGTTTTTTCCCTTTTAGTAAACCCATGAAAATTGGTATTTTCGACTTATGTTGCTTCTACTTCGAGATATGGTATTTTTTCTAATTTTTTGAGGTTATGTTGTCATGAAAACACTTTGAATTTCTTTGCGCACATCTGCATAAATGTTTAAAGTATACTGCAATTTTTTCGGAATTTTTAACTCCAATTTTATAAAGATAGAGCGAAAATACGAATTTGAGGTTATGTAATCACAACAAATGACACCTCTATTTGTGCGTCTCGATATTTTATTTCCCCTTTAGGATGCCGTGGACATGCCCATTGTGGACATTTCTATTAATTTTCAAGGTATACTATAATTTTTTCGCAATTTATAACTCATATGTCAGAAAAGTACAACTAAAATACGAATTTGAGGTTATTTAATAACAAATAATACCTCATTACACACACACACACACACACACGCACACACACACACATATATATATATATACACGTAAAAATTTAAGCATGTAGTAGCAAGGAGAGCGAGGCAGAGAGAATGAGAGAAAGGGCGTCCCACGTCCCACTCTACGCGTACATGCACTGCTCTGGTGGCAAGGGGGACGAGGCAGAGAGAGAGAGAGAGCGGCTGGAGTGGCGGGGGGCTCAGAAATTTCATGTCGCTCGAAAAAATTCACAACGTGCCATAAGAAGTTTCACTTAAAAAATATAGACTGTGATTTAAACCCTTATTATCCTTAAATCTATATACATTATTACCCTTTAACATTTATGATGTTAGATGCAGTGTAAAATGAATAACCGTACATGTGAGTGATTCTGCCGGTACTTGCTCAGATCGACTTGAAAAATTTTTTAAAAAGATGTTGTTTAAAAAACATTTTTTTCATGGTATTTCTGTTGAGTGATGACTTGCGTAAATAAATAAATAAATAAAACTTACGAGACAGAACAAATACACTGTCCCTACCCTGAATCTGCTAACTAGAGCGGTTCATCCCCATTAGTCCTGCTGAAATAGCAGACATTCTTAACCCTAGATCTGCTACTTAAAGTGATCCATCAAAATAACAAATACATATACGAGGCATTTCACGTCAACTGTCCTAGCGCGATCCGCGAGCACCAAAACATGTACTTTTCAACTCGCGATTGCGGTATTATAAATAACTGAGAAAAAATAATGAAAACATAAGATCGACGTTTTTTTTCCTCAGCTTTTCGGTGATGCAATCGGTTTTTTGAAAAAATGACGATTTAACCTAGAAAAAACATATCTCAAAAACGGAATTTAAAAAATTTTTTTAACCAGTGCCAATCGAAAGAGCAGGATTTTTTACGTAGGTATGGCAATTTCCTGAGAGTACTTTTTTTATTTTAGCGAGATATTGAATGCCAAAGTTGGGCGCAACTACACAGTGGCAGCGGCTGCTCGACTCGCGTGATGGTATGCTATATATATATCGCCAAGCGAACATGGTTAGGTTGCGCTGTTTTGATTCGACTTTTAATACACAGCAAAATAAATAATCATGTTATTTTAATGAGTTGCCATTAAAAAAGAATAAAACAAAATCGAATTTAACAAAACAAAAGTATTGAAAATGTATTTATCAATCCAAAACTGACAGAGAGATAAAATAAACTATTTACATTGTTTCATAATTACACTGCAATAAATTATTTACACCGTTCGATAACTCTGTAATTATATTTCTCACATAATGTTTACAATAGTCACTTAGTTTTTTTCTTCGGTAATATACATTTTTTCTTCTCAATACTCGTCGCTTTAAGATTTTCTTTCTTCACTTTAGGAAAATTTTGGTTAATAATTATTGTTCATAATTACATTGCAATAAATTATTTACACCGTTCGATGACTATGTAATTATATTTCTCACATAATGTTTACAATAGTCACTTAGTTTTTTTCTTTGGTAGTATACATTTTTTCTTCTCAATACTCGTCGCTTCAAGATTTTCTTTCTTCAGTTTAGGAAAATTTTGGTATTTTGTGGCTAAAGAAGTATTTTTAAGCATAAAATATTTGTTATCAATAGGAATGATTTCGTGATAATTTAATGTCCCTGGGATAGCTTTGCATTTTTCAAACCTACTTTTTAAAAATAATGAAGTTGCTTCATAATCTGATTTCGCACTAAAAAAAATTTCAGTTTCTTTGCAGTGACTTTTTGCCCAATCGTATAAAGCTTCAGCAGAGGTAATGTGCTTTTCCGACGTCAATTACAAACTTGCTCTTCTCGCGCCTCGTTTTAAGTTTGCTCCAATGCCATTACAAGCACTTTTGCCATGTGCAGTGGTAAAGAAATGCCATTCAGCTGCTATACCGAAATCTGTTTCGTGGTATAAAAAATTTTGGAAATTACTTTTGTTTTTAAAATGTTGGTCAGCTTCATCGGTGAAGTAAAAAATTTTTTTCGGGTCAAAGTTCTTTTTTAAATAATTGACAATAATTTTTTGATACTCAAACACGGCTATGATATCATGTGCTAAATTATCGGAAATAATGGCAATACTTTTATGTTTTACTTCATCTCCTTCTTTATGATGAATAACTATCGTAAATACAGTTGTCTGATTGTTGTTCCAATGAAACGATTGGGTCGAGTTTTGCACAACGAACGCGTAGTTCTTCGCGAAATCACAACACACGATAAATTGGCCATCTTCCAAGTTACTTTTGAAGTTTTGAAAATACTGTGATTGTTTTTTCGAGAAATGATCATGGGTTTTTAACTTCATTAACTTTTCACAGAGTAAAGCAGTGCATTCGTGAGTATTTAGCGTTTGTGATGCCATATTGCATTGATCAGTTTGAAACCAGTTCTGGAACTTTACTTCACAAATATCGTTGTCATTAAATACTCGAATTAAATGATTTTTTAATTGAGCTGTATTCAGGCAATCAAAACAGTCTCCCGTGTAGCATTCATCTGACAGATTATCGCATACTAGGGCTGCAATGCAATCATGGTAGTTGTTTAATTATAATTTGCTAAGTTTTGTTAACTCGGATACGTCAGCCCCTTCCAACATCAATTTAACATTTTCATGGTGTACGCAAACACAAACCGTATGCGTTCCATTGCTTCCAGCTAGGATGCAGTGGACGGGTTGAAGCAAAGTAAATTTAGTAAAACCAATCTCGATATTTTCGAGTTTTTTTTTAAACTATAGAAATAAATCATTTAAATCGGTAAGTAATAATCTTTTTTGTACGTGAATCCTTTTACGATCTTCTTATTTCAACGAAATAAAATCTTTGAAGCCAGGCATAAGTCGACTTACATCATCACGTACATAAAAATTTTTAACTAAATTTTCCGTTTCGAGAGGAAGTACTTTGCCTCGTTTTTTTTGGGAGCTGTTAATATGCCGTTTTCAGATAATAAAGTTGTAGTAAAGAGTAGCTTGCCTTGCTTCTCGTTCTGTACAGTTAAATTCTCTTGTCATGTCATTACGGCTCCAGAATTTCGGAGACAGAGTAAGTAACAAAATTCTTTTATCTCTACTACTTGAAAGAGCAAACTTTTCTTTGATTTGATCAAGGATGGCGACACCAGCTTTATGATAGCTTTCATCGCAAGTTG